CGCCCACGGGCAACGGCGGGGGCGCCACGGCTTTCTAATTTAGAGGGTCGTGTCTACAGGTCTTCGATGGGCTTGTAAGGGCTAGGAGATCTGCAGACTCGTGGTAAAGGCGCCTCTAGTGAGTCTAGTGGAACTGTTGGGCATGAGGGTTGCGGCGGTTTAAGGTCTGGTGTGTGGCCTCGCCCCAGGAAATGTGCATGGCGCTGCTGTGCAGGAGCCTGTGGCCGTTCTGTGAGGTCAGGTCTGCACACGTAAGTAAGGGCTGGGTGCAAAACTCCGCACCCTGAGGCGGATGCACACTAGTCTTTGAGACTTTGAGCAAACAGAGCCATGGGTTTCCAAGGTCTCACTGGGCGTTACACATGTCTTGCCCTTTGTCAGCGCTGTGTTTTTTTACGCCGTGCCCCATCGTTCCCGCTAGCCCATCCTAGTCGCTGCACCACTGCGTGGCCCCGCTGTGTATGTGATGGTGAGAACCAGCTGCCCTTCGCCATGGGATCCTGAACCGTCCGCGCCTGCGTGAGCATTCAGAGCCTAGACTTCTTAGATCCCCTTTTGGTGTTGGCTTGCCTGGGCGGCATAGACTTAGACTTGTTCTTCGCTATTTCCTGAAGGGCTCCAAGACTCAGCCCGGCCTCAGCCCCCGAGCCCCAAGCCCTGTCACAAGCCCTTGCGTGTGGAGATAGCACCAGTTTGAGGGCGGACTCTTCAACAAGGCATGGCCAAAAGTTCTGGTGTGTAGAGGAATCGGGTGCCTGCATCACCAGACCTCGGCCATGCAAGGAGGTTTTCAGGCCTGTCAACCATTTTGCTCCCCCTTTGCCCATGCTTTCTCTACGTACCTACTCCGTCTCTGCGGTTGTGCAGCCTGCTGCATGCCGTGCGGCGGTGACATCAAGCAGGTACATCCGCCGCACGGCATGTCTCGCTGCTCAGCCTAGCTCGAAGCTCTGTGCAGAGATCTCAGCAGCCCCTCGTGGCTGCTTCGCCGAAGGGGTGGAGCAAGGAGCTGCTTCGGAGCATCGTAGGCAGACCA